AGTCCACAAATTATTTTTCCCCCAGTCTGCGCGGCTGTGTGATCTCTTCCTATACGGAGTCTACATCGTTAATTATATTGCATAAAATTTAAATTGTTGTTTTTTCTAGATCGAGTGGGCTCGACCTTGTGATTATTTACTTGTGAGGGGGCGGGTCCAATGCCGGGTTTTATGTAACCGCTAAAAATTCCCCCAGCTGATAACGTATAATAGATTTTTCAACTATCAAAAACATGTGCCAGAATTTGGGTCAATAAAGCGAAGCCGAGATAAAGACAAGGGGAAAGATCAGAATGGGATAACAGGTAAAGGTGGCTACGTAAGCCACAAAAATGCAACCTTTGCATAAACTATTGCATTTGTTTTCGCGTTGTTTACGCTTTTCAGACCTTCAGCTGGGGTAAGAAATAAATAAGAAACACAAACAAACCTTCTCGGCGAATTAAAATAATTCGGTATAAACAGTTTCCTCTACCGCGTTGTATTAATTGCACTTCGATGAGCGATGGTATTTATAAACGTCGGGGGAAATGACAATTGCGAAATCCTAGGCAAGATGCACACACGAGAAATTACACTGGGGGTTTTACTTTGGATCCCCTATTAATAAAGCGACTTGATCGGTTAAACGCCGAGCGTTGACTGAATCGACTGTGAGCACAACGGGTTCGCTAGGGTCTTAAAAGCACTCGGAGCGGAGCGCAGATATTATAGCCGATGTGCTTTTCTGTTGTGAATGTAGACGTGGATGCGTCACAAGTCGAGGGGCTCGTTGGTCCGAGTGTGGAAAAGTGGAAAGGGTGCTCCGTGAAGTGTGTTGACCGACGATAATCTCTCCGTCTCTGCCTTCCACCGCCCTTTTCAGATCGATAGGGCCTTATCTCAGGCCCTGGTGAAATGGATATCTGATTGGGACCAATAAACACCTACATATATGATTGGAGTACTCATCATTTGAAGGGGTATACGCAGTTAGTCTTGTCAATATCTCTTGAAAATTTGTTTTTAACTTGGCTAGACGAAATTCTGGGAACCGAGGTGCGCTCTCATTGCGCCAATTAAATTGTAAAAAGGATTTACTAATTTCGTTTAACAGATTCGAATGTGTTTTGATCATTCAACAGACAAAGTTTCTGGAGAAAATTAAAAAAAGCTACATATGTGGTAACATTTTGACTAGTTTGACTAGATTCAGCCATGAATTAAAGTTTTATGGAAGTAACAAGTTATTTTAAACAACTAATAAAAAGGTCACAATTTATTTATTGAAGTCTACAAAAGCTAAAAGAAAACTGTTTTCTTATTCATAGATATAAATGTTATAAGTCTAAAGTCCATGATAAAATAAAAGGATTTTAACCCCCCAAATAAAACCCAACGGAGTGCTTATCCCATATATCTTTTGTTCTGTGAATTAAAAAAAAAACATAAATAACTTCGAGTTATCAGCTGGCACGATTTCGTAATATCAGTTTCGGTATCATAAAGATTAGTCTTTAAATTTGACAGTGGGACTTTAACCTTTCCGCAGATTGTGATTCGTCTGCATTTAGTTTAGGTAAGCAAATTCAATTTGAAGTTCTGCACTTCACACCTGTTCTTACCGCTGTTACATGACAAGTTAGCTTTTTTACTTGATAAATACTTTGAAAAACAAGTCTTGTATGAATTGATTTTATAACCCAAAAACTGACCAATGAACAGGCGCAGATAAGCAACAATTAAGCAAACCGATAAAACCTATCGCTCACTATTTTTAGTTGAAAGTCCAATAATCACAGTGGCGGGGGGCCTGTGAGAACTTTAGTAGTACGCAATTTCGGAGAATTGATAAGGCTTGCCAGAGCACGCGGCTCCGATAAGAAGTAAGTACTGTCATCTAGAACCTAGTCCAATCGATGACGAGTTGAAAGTGTCTACCTGGCACAAATAACACAAGCTTATCGCACGGCTGTGATCTTGGTACACCTAAAGAAAGTATAGCCAGATCGGAGAGTTCAAACTGAAATCGTAATGCAAGCGGATGATGTGCTGTGGTATATGTATCTTAAATTTGGACTTTGAACCGCAGCAAACTTGAAATGTGCGACGGCTACCGACAAACAACCAAGGCAGCGACGCATGTCTAACGAGAGCGAGACGATTGCGGTGGGTCTGGGATTGGGTCTTGAGGGGCGGTACAAAGGCGCTGGGAACCAGTTGTGCTTCGGACCCCTCCCCTCCTTTCGCAAATCATTCACAGCTGCCGCGACCAGCGAAACGAAAATTAATAAAAGCAAGCAGGGTATCTTTCAGATACTCGACTTTGAGATACCCGCTAGATCATTTAATTCGGGTTAATAGGTTGAAAGTTTTCTGTTTTTGAGGTTGCCTCTTTGGGATAATTCCTTAATGTTAAAACCTTGCAGAGGGTTTTATTATTTGGCTCAGAACTTTGTCAGGCAGTAAAGGAAACCCTATATACAACCCTATATATGCTGACATACATGTATGTTTCTTCCTTACTAACCGTTCTGTGCAGTTTATTGTGTAAAAGTGTAAAAGCTTTTCTTTTAAACAACTGATCATGCTAAAAAAACCTTTCTATCGGACGACTATATCCTATATCCAAGACATAGGAACGACCGGGTAAAATTAACTAATTTGTTTTTTTAATTTATTTAATTTAATTTCTCAATCTTTTTCCAAATATATTTAGCTGGAGGCAACATTTTAGCTTAGAGTCGGTCGACAACATGAAAATCATGAAGAAAATATGCAGTCCGAATATCTTACCGATATCTCACAGAACACCAGATCAAGAAAACTAAAATGTTAAAATTGATTCTAACAATTCGACTCCATCTTAACTTTCTCTGACAGATTACAAACTAGAGCTTAAACAATTTAAAAATATTATCAAAGTATTATATAAGTACATAAAAAACTTTTGAGTTTATAATGGAAAAAAAGAGTGTGCATAAAATATAATACAAAATTAAAATATTTGTATTTTATGAGCGAAAATCAAAAATTTATTTTTTTAGTTTCAGGATGGTTTGGTAGCTTAACATTATTAAAAGGCAACCGATTTAAGTGTTTTTATCCAAATTAAAATTATCTATAATTTTTAAGTTGATATTATTATAAACAGTAATTGATGTTGAATTTTCTGTTATTTCTAAGCTTTTATTTATTTCAATGAACATTGTTTACTAAAAAATGTAATGTATGTACCTAATGGGAATATTATTAGTAAAATGTGTGTGGTTTGTCGTTTTCATTTTTCTTTAAACACAAATGCAACCAAAATTAAGTCGTTAAGTTATACATTTAAACACAAGTGTATTCCTACGTTTCATTAAAACTTTTCTGACTTATAAATACCTTAACTTAGGAAAGTTAAAGTAAATATAGTTCTGAAAATAAAAGCTTAAAACTTTGAAAATGAAAATTTTTCTTTTTATCTTTTCTTTTACACAAAGAAAAATATTTAGATATATTATGGTTATATATTAGACTTTGTCTTTAAGAAATAAATATACCCTATGAATTTACGTTTACCGGGTATGAAAACAATATACTCAATGGAAGAGGTCACTACCTAATGAATTTGCTACTTTCCATAGTAGTTATCGCCTGAATTCAGGGTTTGTATTGACTATTTGTTGTTGGGTTATGTTGGATAAGCGTTTCTTTAGCATTTTCCTTGGGGGGAGAGGAAGAGAGAAAAACAGAGAGCGTCACTAATCCACACAAATGCACCTGCCTGTTTTTATGTGGGTGCCTGTGTTGTGTTTGTTTTACAGATGTTTACCAGCAAAGCTCTCTCAGTTTTTTTATTCTCCAAGGCGAAGAAAAAAGTGAGAGAGCAAACAAAAGAGAGTGCCCCGTTAAGCCTCTCCACAAAACTCGTTTTGGACTTTGAACCGCGTCGATTAAATTAAAGCGTGTTTTGAAAACACAAAACACCAACAATGTATGTAGGCATGTCTAACAAAAAAATTAAAACAAACAAACGACAACAAAGCAAATAGAGTAGAAGAGAGTGTTGTAATAAATACATTACTATTTTTTAGACTTCATTTCAGTCAACAAGTTTTTGTAAGATTCGTGACCCAATTATTTGCGAACAGGTTAAAGTTTTTCTTTTTGGGCGGGGGCGAAAAAGTGGGCGGTGCAGCGTTGCGCTTCAGTGAGAAGGTTTTCTGGGGCAGCGAAATTAGCACAGCAATTCGGCTAGACTTACATCCTTGGAAATGCAATAAATCCTTGTTAAATTTAAATTAAAAACTGGCGAAACAAAAAAGAGCGCACACGGAAAATTACAACAAAAACGAAGGACGACAGACGACGGAACAGCAAATCAGCGAAAAAGCAAAGACGCGCGCGCAATGTTGTAAACGTTGCGGTGGCAAAAGAGAGACTAAAACTGCGTCTGAGAAGCTAAAGTAAAAGCGAAACGGAAGCAGCAGTAAAAAAGAGCAACAAAAATCCACCATATGATCGGGCCAACAAAAACAACAATGGTCCAGAGGTGGTGGTTAAACCACCTTTAAAAGGGTTCAGCTTTCACAAACATAAATACATACATACATATGTATGTACAAATATGGGCACAATAAGCATTGCAAAATGTTTTCAACAAGTTTTTAAATGAAATGGTTTTTAAAGGTAGCGGATAGAGGTTTCACTAGTGATTTTTTGGGCATAAAGACTATCTTAAAACACGAAATAATTATTTTTTAAAAATGTACATACTTATGTGCTCCCCTGATAATGCTACGAGTCTTATTCAACCAAAAACCCTTAAATATTTTATCAAAAAAAGGCGGACAATTAAATTTAACCCAAACTCTATTGTAAGCCATTATCCAATTTTAGGTTCCAATAAATAAGAAACAATAAGCTTTGGGATGTAAAATACCCTTAAAAATAAAAAAAAGTTTAGTTTAGTTATTCCGTTTCGATGATAAAAAACAATGCGCTCAAATCGAAAAAGTGCATTAAAAATGCAATTCTTTTCTATTCAAGTTATGAGATATATATTTACCAAATATAAAATGCTTCTTTAAATGGAACTTCTTGAAACTTAACTAAGGTCTCAAGTAAACAGTGTCTTAGTCTAAATACAACATCCACTATTCGGGTACAGGAGCAGCCTGCTCCTCCTGCTGATCCTTCTCCTTGGTGGACAGGCCGCGAATGCTGACGTCGTAGACAACCTCCTCGATCTTCTTGACATCATACTTTAAGGCATCAAAGCGCTTCCTCAAACCATCGTTCTTTAGATTCAATAGGCGGAAGCCCGTGTTCAGGTCACCAATGAAATGAGAGATATTTAGAGGACGTTCATAGTCGCCCATGGTGACAGAATTGGTGGCAAATCGGGAGAGTTCCGAGGCCAACTGAAGGATGCCCAGCAAATAATCCTCTACATCAAGATGGAAGCCTTCGGCCTGGCTGGTCTTTACTGTGGGTTAATGAATTTATTTTAAAATATGCGCTTTGTATGGTATTACTAAAGACAACTTACGACCCAACATTTCGGCCACAGTTTCGCGGGTGACCAAAAAACCCGCCTCCAGGTAAATAACCAAGGCAATGAGAAAGATCAAACGCTGTGTGATGTAGGTCCAATGATCGGAGTATCTATAGAAGGCGGAGCATTAGCACCTACTATGAGAAAAAGAGGTAACCTTCTGACTCACCTGTAGTACTGGCCAGCTGGCACCAAGCCGGCCAATTTCTGGTACTTTTCAGCGCAGGCTTCGATCTGTTTGCGGGCCAAACCACAGGCGCCACTTACTATATTTCAAAGAAAATATATAATCCATTTAAAACATTAACTATCTAGGTAAAACCCAAAACAGTTAACTTACTCTGACTCAAATCACTATGTATTATCTGCAGTTTAATCTGCGCTTCCTTAGCCAAATGTTCGATTTCGCGCACCACAATGCGAATGTTCTGAAAAATTAGATTTTTAAATGAGTTTTTTATATAACTCATGATTGGCCTACCTCCCTGAGCTCCTGCTCATTGTCGATGTACTTCTGATAATTCGAAAAGATGTCCAAATTCACAAAGTTCGACATTTTTAGTAAATATTTAACTTGCTTTTTGCTTGTTTATGCCGGTGTTAGAGATGGTAATTGCCACAAGCAATAGTTTGACATCGGCTATCGATAGCTGTGACTGTTATCGCGTGCAAAAACAGTATTGGCTAACGCCTGATTTGTCATCTGTAGTTTTATTAATTTTTGTTTTGTCAATCCAGTTCCAATTAGAATTAAAATAGGCTCGTGACAAAATGTCGTATGTGAGTGTTTTTTGGTTAGAGAAATAGAATAAAAGTATTAACTATAAACTATTGGTAGGGACAAGGCTATAATCCGTATGGGCAACCCGGTGGAGGTTATGCCGCCCCGCCCGGAGCATTTCCACCGCAAAATGCCCAAGTTTCTCCGCAGGCCCAGCAATGGTTCGCAATGGTGGATCGCGACCGATCTGGAAAGATCAACTCCTCCGAGTTGCAGGCCGCCCTGGTAAATGGGCGTGGCGATCACTTCTCGGATAACGCTTGCAAGCTGATGATAAGTAAGCAAGAGTCTATATACATACATATGTACATATACAATTCCCTGAATTCCTAAAGACCTCCCCTCCGGAAACTATTGTGACGTCAGTTAACTTCCTCGGTGTATACAAATACAGTAGAACTCCTATAATTTGAACTTCCTTTACTCAAAATCGAAAAACGAATTTAAAAGCCAAATTCGACAGAAATCCAGTATTTGTAAATATGAGTTTTCCATTTGTTTTATTAATTTGAAATCATCACAATCAAATATTTTTATGGACCTCTGAAGGAATTTGGCTTTATTGGATAGTATTTAATAGAGTTATAAGCACTGAAGGTAAAAAATATACAATATTTTATACTTGTTTGGTGTATACTATTGTAATAGGAGTATAAGTATAAGGAACTAATTGGTGGCATGGGCCGATTCGAGTTAGAGAAGTGTGACTGTCTTTCTAGTTGCAGCAATGTCGGCCAATTACATATGTACATAAATATGTACTTGTTTAGATCACCTGGAGCGTCAAAAATTAACTCATTTGTTTACCCTAAGATTTATGCTTTTTTTTATCGCTGCTTTATATTTACCCAACAGGCATGTTCGACAACGATGCCAGCGGCACTATTGATGTGTATGAGTTTGAGAAGCTCTACAACTATATAAACCAGTGGCTGGTAAGGATTTAATAGTTTTAAGACTAAGTATTTTGACTTATATTTATATACCTCACTCTTACAGCAAGTCTTTAAGACCTACGACCAGGATGCATCCGGGCATATCGAGGAGCATGAGCTTACCCAGGGTATGTGAAACTTGCATCTACAATAAATATGTTTTACTAAAACTTGTAGCACAAAACTGCCCACATTTTACAGGGTTTCAGAAAATATAACTTATCTTACGACCCAATGAAAAATTTTTCTGATCGCTTCGCGATAAATTGTTGTTAATAGCTATAGAAAAATAGGCCAACCTCTTCTGATGAATTCGCAAGCGAACTTAATTTTATGTCATTAATGTAAAAAATTGTATTTCATTATGACTTATAATTTTAATTCCCAAGACTATAATTTCTTATGTATGTTTAAAACCCTTTAAAAAAATCATTAAATAAGTATACTAAAATTTACACTAAATCCAGACTACAAATTTATCATTGAACATATAATACATTTCCTTTTAAATAAAAAGTATATACCTTTTCCTACAAGTAGAACTGACTTGCAATAAATGTTCAGAAAGAAATGCAAAGAAAATATCACGAACTTTGTTTCTCCTTTTAATGAGTCAACTTTTTAAAAAATTGTATTTTGTATCAGAGGGAAAATCTGGTCAAACCAGACTTTGATAAAAAAAACCCATTTTTTTTTATAAAGAAAAAAAAATATCAAACTTTTGTATAAGGAAAATAAATGTATATAAAAATTCTTTATAATGAATTATTTATTTTTCAAGACATTAAGAATGAAGAGGAAATTTTGTTTTGGAGTATTAACAAAAAGTATCAGAAATATCTGTTTTATAAGCACTGTTATATTAATTTATTACCTAGATACATAAATGTTTGCTATATCATTTTAAAAACATACTCAAATAACACTTTTAAATTATCGCCAAATATCCCCACAGCCTTCAGCCAAATGGGCTTTCGCTTCACGCCCGAGTTCATAAATTTCCTGGTGAAGAAGAGCGATCCGCAGACACACAAGGAGGTATCCGTGGACCAGTTCATCGTGCTCTGCGTGCAGGTGCAGCGCTTCACTGAGGCTTTCAGGCAGCGCGACACCCAACAGTCTGGAACCATCACCATTGGCTTCGAGGATTTCCTGACCGTGGCCATTGGCTGCTCGTACTGATTTATCAAGGCAACCACTTCAAGGGAATCAAAATCCACACTCTTGCACACACACTACAACTACAGCCATCAGATTCCGCGCTTATTGTATTTTCCTTAAATTTTAATTCTTAAATCAACGGTGTTTGTTAGCTTTTTAATATGTAATGCATTATTCACTCCACAGTCACATTGCAATCTCCTGGTACCAGAATCAAATTTCAAAAGTATTTGTAATCGCAGTTTGACTCAATCATAGTACAAAGTCTCTTGCGCCTAATAATAAACTATACACATGTATTTTTAAAAGTTAATATGTAATTGTGTTTTATTTAAAATGTAAACAATATATATGTATGAAAGGTTCATTATAAAATCATGTCTTATGTTAGCAGTCACACTGCCCCACAGTTCGTAATCGTGTCTTCGTTGATCGGTGAAGATCACTTTGATATGCAGTTAGGAATTATAATCTTATTTAGTATACAATCATAAAATCTTGGGCGATTCAATGTGACGGCACAAAAGCTTAAAGGTAAAATACAAACATTAATATCAGATAAAACATTTAGGCATAATAAGTGTTTGGTTTTTGGTTTGGGAATCGTATGATGTTCCAATTTTTTTGGTCATAGGTTATAATTTTAAAGATACAAAAAACTCAGTCTTAAAGTCCATAAATATATGAAACGAATGTCTTTAGGGCGAGGAATACTTTTTTTTCCAAGTTGGGCAATGGTTTGTTTGATAGGAAGATTCAAAACAATCTCCTCTAAAAAATAATTCAGTCATAGAATATTAGTGTATATGGCATCGGTTTAGGTGATCAAATAGTTTGCAAGTGTTTGTCTTAGGAGCTTGATCAAGCCAAGTTAAGAGATCGTTGGGTGGCCAAGGTTTTTTGGGCAAGATGCTGGAAACATTTGGGAAATACGCTCATGGCGGTCAATGCAATCTTTAATGATAGTGGCCTTATAAAAAATAATTCAGTGTTGATAAAATTTCTTGTTAATATGTGGCACAGAAATTCGTAACTATAAAATTGATATTTCGCGATTGATTTTTTTTTTTTTACAATTTTTAAGTTAAGAATTAAAGCATTTACGAATTAACTAATCGTTAGATGAAGGCCTTATGACTACTTTGATTATTTGCTTGATTAGATTGGTTTACATTTGCTTAGATAATATAAATTATTACAAGTAAACATTAAATATTTGGGATGACACACAATTGAATGACAAGAAAAAATAATCGCAAATGGACAAATCAAGACACTAGTCGAATGAATTTAAAAATAAATGGAAGCATCACTCGGTCCCCATACAGTTTTATTTGGTTTCAAGCTTGGAGCACTCTCCGTTCACATTGAAGTCGATGATTAGCTTGCCCTGCGAGTCGTCCGACATGGAACCGCTCATCCCATTTTCGCACTTCATCGAGTACTTGGATCGTCTTTTGCTGGGCAGCTGGGGTAGGTCGGTATGGTGTTTCCTCACATGGACACCGAGATTTCCGCGCTGCTTGGACTTGTAGGGACAATAGGGGCACTGATGCGACGGCTCCTTGCCACCGCACTCCACATTTTCGTGCCGACGCAGTGTGGACTTCCAGCGATACTTTTTTCCGCAGTGACGACACTCGTACACCGGCTCCCCATCCAACCCGATTCCATTGGGACTGGTGGTGCTCCCGTTGCTGCTGCTGCCTCCGTAATCGCTCAAGGTGAACTCCAAATTGCGGAAGGCCTGTGAATGGGCCTCCAGTATTGAGTTGGCGGACCCACCATGGGCATTGGCATGGAACATGCCTAGGCCAGAGTGGTTGCCAAACTTGCCGCCACCGCCGTTGCCCTGCTCCATCAGGTGAATGTCATCGAAGGCATGGTATCGCCCTTCCTCTTCGTCCTCCGTCGAGTAACCCGGCTCGTTCTCGCACTCCGAGTGGCGGAAGTCACGCTCTTGCTGCTTCCGCAAGAGGTTCTCCAGGATCTTTGTGGGTGTGATTTCGCCGCCGGCGATTCCAGCGTCGTTCTCCTCCTTGATGCGACGATGTGGAGTCTGTTGGCGCAGGATCTCCTGGGCGCGCAACTGCTGCTGGAAGCTGTGCAGGCCATTTCGCATCAGGGCCTCGGCAATAACAGCTGCCTGGGGTTTTGGAGTCAAGGAGAGCGCGCTATTGGCCACCAGCACCGAGGTGGGTATGGCCGTAACACCGCCCAGTTTTTCCGTGGACGACGCCGCTGTCTTCAGAGTGAATTTGGGCCGTGGATGAAATGAGGCGGCGGCGCCAGCGGCAGCACCCACCACATGTGTTGTGGTGTTCTGAGCCCGCATCATTTCATCAGCATTCAAGTTTTTTGAAGCCGTCTCGGAGGCCGATCCATAAACCGCCATGGCCGGGATGGATGAGGGATCCAGGATCTCGCCGGACGTCGGTGACACCTGACGATGTGGCTGCTCCTGCTTGGGCACCTTGGCCGACTTGGTCTTGTAGAACTCGAACAGCATGTCGGACACCTCGGTGACCGACAGGCGTTTGCGTCGCGATCCGGGAAATTGCATCTTTTGCTCATCCCGCGGCTTTCCGTTGAGGATGCTGCGCTGGAAACTGCGCTGAATCTCTGCAATGGTGGCCACATCCGGTGCCGTGTTCTCTTTCCTGCTCAAATCTGTAATCGGAAACATAGTTGGGATTAGTTTTTTTTCTAATTTCTCCTCCGGATCACTCCGTTTGAAGATCCTTCGCTTTGAGC